CAAATACAGAGGGCTCTGCACTTTTCATGTATGTCCACATTTTATCAAATACTTGAATTTTAGATCTCTGCCGAAAGAAGACAGTCTGGTAACTATTTGCAGAGTAAACTTGAAATCCATGCAACATATTATGCACAGAAATAAGACTGCTAATTACGTAGCATTGAGCTGATATGCACCTACATGTTGGTAGACACAAGCAACCGAAAGGTATGGGAATAGGAAGAGGAGGTTTGTGCATAAGTAACATTTTGAGCATAACTTACAGAATATCAGCATTTCATTCAGCTGTTTTTCTTATATGCATTGCAAAATATTTCCAGAAAAATCAGCCTATATGGCTAATACATTTAATTGCATCCCCTCCTAAACAACACTAAAGAACAGTCTGCATATTTGGCAAAGAACTGACTTTATGGCTTTAAACACACTGTCAGAGATAATTACTGCTGAAAGAATCTCTAGTGTAACGCTCATTCCTCCCTCCCCCGCAGCCTCATGGTTCAAATTTGCTTTGAATTTCACTTCGGGAGGAATTATGCTGATAACTCTACAACCCAGTTCCTCCTGGGCTATTAGACTCAATTACAATAGTCCTTCAATCCTTATGAGTGCTTATTTTGTGCTTATTTTAATGGGCTAAAATGTAACATTAGTCCTTGGCAGATGTCTCAAATGGGCTAAAGTGCAGCATATGTCCTTGGCAGATGTCAAATGGCTTCAAGGTGCCTTTAAGATGCTACAATGCTCTTTGTTGTTTCAAGAGAATGACAATGGGCTGGATCGCATGAAACAGCCAGCCAGGCTGGGCTCTCCTGCAATGGGTTCAAATATGACTATATACATAAAATTGAATCTGCATGGGATAGAACTGTATGGTAGTTAAACAGTTTTTATTGAGGGAGTTGACTGAAAGAAAACATGGGTAATGCAAAACTCATAGTCAAATGCAGAAGTCCTGTATGGAAACCTGAAGCAGGGCTGGATGGGGTCACCGTTCACTTGCTCCCCTTGGGGTATTAGATCAGATTGGAAGGAAGGGAGGTGTTGTGCAATCTGGGCCATAAAATGAATGAATGTGAGATACATTGAGATTAATGTTAATCGCTGCAGGTGTCAACGCTTGCCTTGGGGTGAGAAAGAGAAACAAACTCCTCCCATTCAGAATCCAACAGCCTCTCTTTCCAAAGTTCTGACCACCAGAGGTTTCTCTGCTTCTAGCCCTCCCTATTACCTAACAGTTGTCCCTGCTACCAGATTCTGGCTTCCTTAAAACTTGCATTTTGCAATGTCTGGGGCTGGGCTCTGGTAGTGGGAGGACATGTCACAGAAGCAGAGCCTTACGGGACATGAACAGAGACCACCCTTAATTCCAGACGATCGGAACTGAGGCATATCAACGCCTCCTGCATTGAGCTGAGAGGCTTGAAAACTCCCTTTTTCATGCTCTTTGGTGGGGGCAATACACACTGTGATCATGTGTGCATGTCACAGCAACCCACAGTCTGTTAACCAGTGTTGAAAAGATCATTAGGAGTGAGTATGCTGGGTCTCTCTATCCACGCATTCCTGCTGACATAAATAACCAAGGACACTCTGGTCCTAGATTATTTATAACATCTGAATTTATAACACCTGGAATTCTGAGTTGTTGGAAGTGTTCGGTCCTTAAACTGTGTCCATGGCCTGTGTGAATGCCCTCCACTCTGTTGCATAAGTAAGGTTTGGGAAAATGAGAATCTTACATCTGTATGAATGCAAAATCCATGTAGATTTATTACTATTATTACTATCATCATTATCATCATCATTAATTATCCGTCCTTTCCAACAAAAACTGGCACTCGACTTTTCTAACCATAATACCAAGATTAAAAAATAATAGAATAATTATAAAATAGATTAAATGTACAAGTAAAAATAGATAAAAGAGCAAACAGTACCCAACCAGTTAAAAAATTCCTTAGCAACACTCCTGGTTACACAGCAAAGACCTGTCACAAAAAACCATCTTATATTTCTGTCTTTCTTATACAATCTTCTAATGTTCTAAAATATGGTCCTCTATAATAGAAATATACCATAACCCTTTTTTAAAAATAACTTATATATGAGTGGAGGGAACTTCACAGTACTGAGAAAGCTCTTGAGATCATGGGGAGTGGTTAGAAACATCCATGGGGTGATTTCATATTAGATTAAGGGAAGCAAAGTTGGATATTTCAATGGCTCCACAGACTGTAGCCTCCAGTAGGAAATCTCCTTCAGTGCTGGGATTCACAATAAACACTGGGTGCACAGTTTACAGATTAACTCAAATTGACAATAGACAGATTGTGTTGCATCTAACTATCTAACTATAGAGTATTATGGCTGCCATTCCTTCTTTCGGGCCACCACAGTTGTGCCACAAAATGCTTCTAGACAGTCAACATGACATCATCTATAGGCATTATAATTGTCTGGCTTCGAGGTCACAAAGACACAAATCGCACGATTAACAGTGTGTTCTATTTATATTAATTATGTTGCCTTCATTAATGAGAGCTCTTTCCCAGAGACACTCAATTAAGGATTTCAATTATGAAGAATTTATCAGATTAATTAGCAATCTACATATCTAGTGGGCTATCAGATAACTTTTCCATTTTGTTTTACTAGGATCTATTATTCTCAAAATGAGATGATATAATTAGCATATCATTTACAGAAATAACTCAAAATGGCACTAAATTTTATCTGCTACCACATGCAGTAGAACTTGCAGCACTGAAGTAGGTCTGTAGTTTGAATTGCCTGATAGTCTTCATTTTGGATAAAATAAAACAATATGTATTAACTGCAAAAAGTACCATTAGGTGGTAACCCTATACCAACTGTCTGGAGGGTAAATGCAATTGAAATAAATGGGAATTCCTTCAGAGTAGACTTGTATAGGATTTTGCTGTGAAAAATTTATATATTAGGAATTTGTTGGCTGAATATAATGAATATAGTGTGAAATGAGGCTTTTATATTTAAAAATGTCTTCTATTATAGTTACTTTGTCTACACACAAAGAGCAATATCCAGTGTTAGTTCAAGAATAGGTCATCATCAGACTTAGCAACACAAAAGACAAGATAAGAAGAGTTAGTATGCCCGATGCATGAAGCTTAATTAATTAGGGGTAATCATTGTTTTTACCTTGATGAGGAACAAAGAGAATGTGTGAGGGAAAGAAAGTCTCTAAACTAAGGAACTTGGGAACTCTGAACTTTCAGCTTTTAGACAGTCGGATATTACATAACTGTAATATTACAGATCGTGCAATATGGTGGCATCTGGAAGGCTGAACTTAGGTCCTACATAGCATACCCAAGCACCTGCTGCTTGCGTGGCCTCCATTCCCATACCCATCTTGGTAAGGTGTAAAGTGCTCTGATAGTTCAGTAGCTTGGCCTGATTCAGCAGTGCCAAGAGTACACTGCTGTGAGGAAGCTTGACCAGTTTTCCTGTGCTGGTGGAGATTTAGCATTTCCCCTCCACACTGGTCCAAGTGCTTTACCTGGATTATTGTATTTAATCAAGTTGCACCCACCTCATAGAGCTACACAGAGCATGATAATTACAAGCTGCCACTCAATTTAAACTTGTAATTAATTGTTCAAGCAGCAGTATCAAGCACGGATCATATATTCCACTTAATTTCAGAAAACATGAAGAGGAAAAAGGAATATGCAATTTCACATTATGAGCCACAACAAGAATTAACTGAAAACTCTTACCCTAAAAAATTCTTTTGTTGAGCCAGAATCTAATGTCCCATAAGCGATTTCTGTTTGTTTAGACAAATCCTCCGCACTTTCAATGGGAGACACCATCCTCTCTACCGTCAGAAAGGCAGCTAGGTTAGCCGTGTAGGACGAGATTATGATCAGGGTAAAGAACCACCACACACCTCCAACAATGCGCCCAGACAGGGATCTAATAACAAGTATGAAATGGATTGGTAAAATGAAATGAATGTCCTGAAAGGAAGGCAAGTTACTGGGGTTATGCATATGCCGCACTGTGTAACACAGGGAAAGGATTTTTAAATGCTCATTCCATCTTGACGTCCATTTATTTTCTCTATTGCAATGCATGCTAATAAAGTGAAATATTGAAACATATTTTAGCCCTGCTAGGATGATTTTACTTAGGTCAAAGGATGTCACTAAACTGAGGGCTCCAGTCTTGAGTTAATGTCCTAGTTCATCACTCCTTCACAGGTTCGAGTATCCTGGAAAACAAAGCCGCTTAGATGACTTGATTGCCATATTAAAAAGTTTTCATGATAACTCAGGTGAATGATTGTAATGATCTCACACATATACAAGAAAATCAGACAAGATCAAAAAACTATGTATTTACAACAAAATGGCAGGCCTCCATTTCCAACTGGTTAAGATTCCTATGCACAAATGAACTATGTTATCCTGCAGTGGATTCACTGTGTAGGAGAAGCTATATTTTAATTAAGTAAATCAGGACCAATGTTCTTGGTTTAAATTCCTATAGGCCTTCTATTGCATTTCTTGGACAATTCCAGTATTTAATGAAGTGGAGGCCATATGTTAAGCACACAAACATATAGTCCAGTAAAAAAAAGAGATTTTTAGATTGGGAAGCTTAATTTTTGCACAATATTATCACCTGATTTAGGTGTAACATTTCCCACAAGCACTACCCTGCTCTGCATTCATATTTATTTGTATCATTCACAAACATCAAATGTTTGAAAATCTGACAAAAACTATTATTCTTTTACAGGCATCTGAATGTAAGGTCAGATGACTGTTAGGGATATTTTACCTCCTGCTAAATATGGAGGTAATATGAAATGCTGTGCTACTTTTACTTCTATCTATATCATATTTTATTGTTGTTATTGTGGACTGTCCTGAGATGTCTGTGATGGGACAGTATACAAAAGTTTTAAATAAATAAATAAAACCAACAGAACAAAACTTAAACTCTGTTACGATGATCTGCTGAAGGGCTTTAGAATGGATACTAATACGGTGGCCTGCTTGACATCAGTTTCCAAATCTGCCAAACATTTTTGAAAGTCTCACAATTTCTAATTTGCTACAAGAAGCATTGTCCTACTAGTAAGCTACCTTTCAAGAATCTACTGTCTAGTTCAATTTAGGAACCCCATGTGATTGCCAGTGAACAGTTACAAGTGATACTCATTAGTGATACTCCATTTCTATCTGCCCAAAGTTGTGCAGTATCCTTAGAAAATGACTCCAAGAAAGAGCAGTACTGGAGGAACACATTAACAGTGCAATCCTAGGCATGTCAGCTCAGATATACTACTGAGTTTAATCTGGTTTACAACCAGGTAAGTGGGTAAAGGATTGCAACCTAAGAAGGTTTTAGACATTACTGCTTCAGCTTGGAGCAGCAGCCAGGGGAGGAACATTCCAGCAGCATTCAAGAGAGATGTTCCACCTGAACAAGTCGTTCCACTTACACAAGTGCAAGCTACTGATACAGATGTTGATGCAGAGTCCTTTTCCAAGTTATGAAAAACATTTGATTGCCACTCATGGATGGGTAAGTCAGACAACTTTCTCCCAACCAGAAATGGATGCTAACACACCTCTCTCCCAAAAGTGGTGTTCTCCCTTGTCTAGACAGAAATGAGCTGCCTTAGCATAACAGTTGCTAAGAAACTGTGTTATGAATTAGTAAACCCTTGTTTCATATCTAATTTCTGCCATGAACTCAGCTGATGGTCTTAGCCTGTCCTTTTTTCAGTTCCCCTATGTACAACACAGTTATAACAGATTCTGACTGACCTTACAGGATTGTTATTGATATTACATCAAGATATACAGCTTGTAAATGCAAAGCAGTTGCTGGTGCTCCATACTGAATTTTTCACTAAGCTATGCCCTTCCTTCCTTCTTTTTCTTTCTTTTCATTTAATCACTAAGCCGTCTTCTGCTTTAAATTGCATTTTTAGCTATTTGAAGATTTCATCATAAATACTGCTGCAGATCATCCTTTATTTACTATTCTCACAAATCCTTTATTTTTTCTCATTTGCAGGTTGCTATTGATGGGATTAAAATCCAATTTTCAGTTAGGGTATGGAATATCTCTTAATATTTTCTTTGGTTAAATGTTGCTTAAGGTTTCAAAATAAGAAAAAACTGTATTAAAATTGGATTATTTATAATATTCTCCAAAATCCTGAGTCTATTCTTCAAAAATAGTGATTTAAAAGGTGAATAACTCTGATTCCTTTACCATTGTAGCATAGCCCAGTATGAGAAATCCTAAGTATCCAAATGCCAAACAATACAGATTAATCTAACTGAAACAGGCATAGGTATGTTATTAGTTGTTTCAGGAAAATCACTAACGAATATAGCATAATCTTGTAAAGCCAGAATCTTCCATTAGATAGGCTCAGTTCAATTGGGACCTAATTGGCATGGCTGCCAAAGAAAACCCCAATTCTAACCACGTGGAAGAAAATGTTTGCCGCAGTGTGGCTGGAATTGTCTAAAATGAACTGCTTTTATATTTTGGACACTACATGGCTCACTGTAACAGCTTTACAAATGCAGATTCTGCAGCGTGCTTGTGTGCAATATCACCTTTTCAAAGAAATCCACGTTCATCTTAGCTTCCTCTCCTCTAAACCAGCAATGCAGAATCTCAGTCCAGAGAGTCAAATTCAGCCTTCCTGGCATCCCAATCCAGACCCCCAGAGTTCTATACATGGCTAAGCTCTCTTCCCCTTCCCCTTCCCCTTCTAATGACTCCCAACTTTGCCTACAGTCACTCATGGTTTGGTGGCTTCCTTGCTTTTCTGCAGTAATCTTTCCATTCTGAAAGGTTGAGGCATTTCTCCCAAGGATTAGTTACTGATGATAAGAGATTTCAACCAGAACAGGCTGGTATTTTTGCCCCTGGCGCTTTCTCCTTTGATGCCACCCACCACCAGAGTAGAATTTGGCCCTCAGGCTGAGAGAAGTGCAGGAGTTCTACACAGTTCAGCTCTTGCTGGCTCTGCTGTTGGCTTCAGCAGCAGAGAACACCTTCCGTTATTGCCATCACATATCTTTGCCAGAGCACCCAAGGAACGATGCCAGGATGGATGCTCTGCGAAGAGTAACCTTCTGCAGGAAGAAGCAGGATGGCTAAATGCATAAGCATTGTCTCCAAAAATATGGAATTGCACCACCAAAAGAAGAAGACAGTTGATTTGCATAATATGCATACATATAGATCAACATTTAGAAATGGTTACTACATGGATGAGTCCTGCCATCTCTCATCCCTACTGCTCTCTCTGAACTCAGACAGGCCAGCAGGAAGGATGTTGGACAGTCTGGGCCTGGAACCTTCTCCCAGCAGAAGAAAGAGGGTGATGAATTCAGTGCCAGCTCCAGGCTTGGCTAGGTGAGTGCATGGGGCATCTGGCCATGGCACGCAGTAGGTTCCTCTACCCTGACAGAGGCGGGACGTGCACACTGAGAATTCCCTTCTGCAGCATCTTTCTTCTTGGGACTCTATGCAAAGTAGAAATGGTGGCACTGCTAGGGCATTGGGCACATTGCAGGTCTTGGGGCCCTATCTTAGGCTCAACCATACCACCCTCTGTCACTAGCCCTGAATGGATTTCAGCTTTGATACTATTCTCATACTCAACACGATGCATCAATATGTGCCCAACAGAGCTGTCGAATTTGGGCCAGAGCCACTAGCTGCACGAGGGAAATGGAATAGCTGGGAACACTGCAAAAAGAAGGAGAAATAAAACAAACATAGGTATTGTGAATGATGCTTAGGCTTGCTGTATACTGATGCTTAAACTAACAGCAATAATAAGGTCAGTGTCTATATTCTTAAATGAATAGCTTTCTTTTAAGCCAGGCAGATTTCTCCAGGATAGCCTGAGCACCAATTCTTGCCAGGCTTGTTGTAACTGGTTCACATGACCATCAAGACCTTTCTACTTAGGATGGCAGAAATTTTGCTGAAAGGAGAGGTGGAATTTTGGCCATAGGCAGGATGCCATGTAAAGTGGTTTGTGGTGGGGAAAGTGCAGTTTTCATAGCCCACTAACAGTGTGCTCTCCCTTTTTCCCATTACAGCACCTGTGAAATCAGTGCACCATTGGCTGTGAATGGGAATATGCAGCAAAAACACGGTACCCCTCCAAGATGGCATGGAATGAGAGGTACTTTATGCATTTTTTGGCCTGTGCATGATGTATATAGGTCCACCAAGGTAAAGAATGACTGATGCTAGGAGAAAGCCAATCATACTGTCCACTGGCCTGCATCAAGAGCAGTCATTTTGATAGAAGGGCTTGTGGATGATTTGGAGAGATGTGTCAACAGCTGGTACGTCTTGAGAGTGACTTTATATGCACCATGAACATCCTTTGTGGGACCAAAAATGCACAAAGCTGAAATGGATGTGTAACCAACCTTGGCGAAATATCGCATCCTTGCTGCATAAAGGCACCCAAGGAAAACCAGAGACTATTAAATATCCCAAATTCATTAGTTGATTCATTACTTTGCGTTTCTCTTCCATCTTCAAACTCCTCAGTGTGCCACTCGTATGGGCTAAATCTGCTGACCAGGAATAAAACCACACTGACCCCAATGTAGGCAAAAACAATGCACATCCAGATCTCATATGCTAAGGGATCAAGAAAGGAAAACACTCCTGGCTTGGACTTCTGAGGCTTCTTGATCATTATAGATATCCCGAGGCTCATAAAGGGCTTTGAGAAGTCAATCACTTCTTCTCTCACCAGTGTTATAGTTAATGGAGCAATTGCAATATCGGCTTTCTGTAACAGAAGCAAAACAAAACAATAACTTATTCAATATTTAACAAGGGAATGGCTTCATTGCTTTTGTGCATCACAAATGAAGAATGCAACAGCAGGGGCATGGAGAATAAGCATAATAACTTAAGTACTAGCATCCTACTGAGAAATAAAGTATCAAACAATCTGCCTCTGATGTTCTTTCTACCAACACATATTCAGCCATGTGGCTTCACTTATTCTGCAAAAGGTACCTCTTTATAATCATACAGAGAACACACCCCTTGAATTTCTGTGGCAATTGAACTTAGAGGACTATTTCATTTGTGGAAAAGGGTGATAAAAAGCAGGACTGATAATCACTTTTCAAATACCAAGATAACTCTTGCTTCAGTCCAGGAGAACTGCTCCCATAACCAACATGTGTTGAGCTTATCACCTTTAATCATAGCTACTTGCAATGTTTCAAAATGGCTCTTACCCCATAAACAAGTTCTCCAACCATTCCATTCCAGATTTTTGTTTCTGCATCCCTGGCCCCATATTTGCCATCCCCAACAATTGTGAGTTTGTATTTGAACCCACAGTGCTTGGCAATTTCTGCAGCTAAGTCCACACAGTAGCCCTCATAGCGCTCATTTCCTTCAAGTAATTCAAAGTTTTTCTTCACCATGACATATGGGGATTCCTGTACAGAGAAACTGGGCTTTAGCTAATTAATAAGGATATCATGTTTGTTCTATAAAGGTTTTGAAGTACATTTAATAAAGCAACAAAACACCTGCATTCCTTACATAAATATTCAGGATCATTTATTTATCACTCATCACATTAACATTTCTTCACAGCCATAGCAAGCCTTACAGGTAGAGGCATTTTCAAAGATGCATTCATAATTCTCATTGGCATTATGGAAGCTGTATGGTGACAACTAATAACTTTTCATAATAAAAGACTAGCTTTTAAAAACATTGGAAAACATGACCAGATCAGAATACTCCTGCCTATTTTATAGTCTTCTACAATACCCACCAAGCCCACAATAGATCATATAAAATTCACAACACAGAGAGAGCTGTTTAAAAAAAATCTTACCACCATCAAAACAGTTGATAAATTGTTGGTTCCTTTAATATATAATCCAGAACAGTTATGCCCTGAATGAACAACTTTGAACAATTATTAGCTTGCTAGGTAAACAAAACAGCATTCCTACTGTAATACTATAATGTTGCTATTGTAAAATGACAGTGAATGTTTTTCATTCTTCTGTTTAATGGAGATTTTAACCTAGATAGCAGTAAAGAGATGTGCATTCATTCTGATTTGGTAACCTTCTCCAAGTGATAAGCACAAAAATTAAAGCATTGTCCTGCTGTGAAAGAAACTGCACACCCTTGAAAGATTCCCCCCAACTTCTGACATTTTAAAGGTTGATCTACTACAAATATTTTCAGTTTTAGAAATTAAAGGCAAGAGCACACTTCAGAATCCTCATAACAACTTTGAAAGAACAGGCAAATGTAACCAAGGATTTTATTCTTACTCCATAAAGAACATTTCCCAACCTTGACACATTCACAATGAAAATGTAAATCAATAGTGAGCTAGTCCAACATAGAACGAAAATGAATAATAAGATTACAACTTAGAGTATCCATTTCACAAAAAATGTGCTTAATTACCAAAATAGTGGTGACAATAATAGTCTTATTTTCTAATCCTGAGGATTCATTGCCAGAGAGACCATCAATAGGATTCACAACCATTCTGTCCACTTCACTCCAGTATCCAATCTGAAAAAGGTCGGAGGTCATATTCAAGCTAATGAATATTGTTGTTCATATTTTTTTTAAATACATGACATTCACATATCTGACTCCATCCTACTGGATCCACTTATATTTAACCAGGAGATGTAGCAGGTATTTTAGGTGGTCTGTAAACTAGAAATATGTGGAAGTCTAAATGCTTTCAGGAGGCTGATCTTTGGTTTCAGTAGGATATCAAAGTTTTTAGTTATGTGATAAGTGAACTGTATTGTGGGTATTGTCTCATCAAAGTTAAGCCCTTTATTGCATAAACCTATGCTTACCAGAGGTTAACTGAGAGAGAGTCACTGTGGTATAGTGGTTAAGAGTGCAAGTCTGAGACTCAGGCTATCTGGATTCTATTCCCTGCTCAGCCATGGAGCCAACTTTGTGCCAGTCACAGACACTTAGCCCAAACTACCTCACATGGTTGTTGCTGTGCAGATAAGATTGAGAGCAGGAGGAGGAGAATGATGAAACCCACTTTGGATTCTTTAAAAAGAAAAAAAAGTGTGATATAAAACAAATAGATAACTGGATGGCTGTGAAGGAGCTTGGAGCTTCAGCTCCAAATTTGCAAATAGGCTCCAAGGTCAGTGCTGAGACTCTGACCTTGAAGAACCCCTCTTCTTCCTTTGAACCAGCTGCAGAAATAAAGTCGGAAGACTAGTGGAGCCAAAGATTTGTGGGCTTTCTGGGATATGGGGGAGCACAAGAAAGGTTCCTCCAGGAGACAATGTATCATGCTAGCATCACCTCCAGAAGACTTAGATGGCCTAAAAGAGCCATACGAGGGCTCATCCCTTTGATTCTCCCACCATCCATGCGATGCCTGTAATGGTCTAAGTTCAAAGGGTTACTGGATATCTCTACCCATGTCTCCAGGAGAGTCTCCAGCTTAATTCTCATGTTGAGAATAGAAATAGAACTGTTAACTATTAAACTTGGATTGCACTGTAGCCATTATTAGTAAAATGATCATAATGGAATCCAGAGTATATGAAATCCAGGACATTATATACAGTATTCTATAACTTTAATCAACTCAGTCATTTATAAAGAGTTAGATTCTGTCATACACATATTCCATCTAATTTCTAAGCAACCATATGTCATAGATGCATTAAAATAATATACATAATATGAATAGATTATACTTACCTTAAATTATGGCCTTTTTTTAACAAGAACATTTCTATAATTCTACAGCACTATACATACCTATATTTAACTGCAGTGTAGCCTTATGTTGAGCTCTAAGACACCAGCTTTTCTACACCCTTATAGGAAAGAATTATAAACACACAGAATTAAAATTACCTTCCGAGGACCAGTGCTTTTGAGTTCCATGACGTTTATTGTATAGTTAATCCTCTTTCCATTCTGATCAAATTTTATATTTCCTGATAACCCTTCCACCTGAACCTGTGTGAATTAAGGATGGAAAGATCAGTAACATTATCAGGAAACTAATTAAACATTTTATACACTAATTAAATTTTATTTGAAAATACTATACTGAACAATTTCCCAAAAACATAAATTTCATGCTTTTATTTTAGATATTTAGACATTCCATGCTGAAGAGTCTTTCTAGAAGTATTAGATGCAGAGATTGGCAATTTTTCCTCTTTTGTGTAAGTGTCCATCTCGAGACGCTATACACACAGTACTGGCTGTAGAAATATTACCTGTTTTAATGCCCTTTCTATTTCCACACCATGAGACCAGGGCACTGCTGGGTTTGCAAGACAATCTCCAGCATTTCCTCTCCTAGAAATCTCAATCCTCTGCTTACGCAAGTTACGGAATGCTTCTGTCATCACTTTGACTGCATCATATGTCAGGGCTGATGTGTACTGAAAAGAAGAAAATGTTATCAATTAAACACAGCTTAGTCTAGCAATTGATTATTTCCATGACAGGTAGGGAAAATCATATCCATACCCTTTCAGATGATATGTTCCACAATGCTTACTAATTTATTCTATTGGAAATGTTTTAGACCGTATGTTAAAACTTATTTATTTGTTTATTATATTAAATTTGTATAAAAGCCACCTGTTAGCAGTTATGCATTATTAAATATAGCATTATATAACACTGTAATTTTCAAATAAAATATTTCTTTCATCGAATGGAAGTGTTGCTGTCTAGACATGTTAATTTATCCTAATATGTTCTCACAGATGAAAATAAGAACCCCTTTGAAAAAGCACCTTCAAAGAAAAGGTTGACTCTAAACTGTTTTGTAAATAGGGCATTAAGCATGTGATCTATGTTCTCCTGCTGTCCCCAGGAGACCATAGCATTATTCAGAGTCCCAACCCTGTGAGCTTGGAGCTGGGACTCAAAAGGCTGATCCCATGCTCCACCACTCAAAGCTGGTCCTGAAAGAACTGTGCCAGCTGCATCGCTCCTGAGGTCACAGCTGAACCTCAGGGAGAGCAAGGGGAGGTATGCAAGGAGGAAGCAAGGAAGCTGGGATCACATGCACATGCTGGTTCCTACCAGCACCTCAGCTTCATTTGCTCCTTGGTCTTTACCTCGCTGTTCAAAAGCAGCCATCCAGATAAAATATGTGATCCAAGGCCTAGTGGCAGTAGGGACTGTTGCCACCATGCCTTGTTCTGTGAACAGGAGACTTACCAGCAGTGTGGTCACACTGGATTACACCCTGTCTGGTAAGCCAGTTTGGAATAGATTTTCTGCTTTTGTTTTGTGCAGGAACCATGACAATATCCACCTTCTTAAATCCATCTTCTTGGACATCTTCATCCACGAAGATGCCCAATAAGTGCATTTATGAAAATCAGTTCCAAAGTTACACAAAAGTTTACCCAGTTTTTGTGGCACAAATCACATCAGGGTACTGATTGTATTTGGGTCTGTGTTCAATTCTGAGTGATGTAAATTCAATACATTTCGGTAAAAAAATGAATGCTAATAAAATATTTACCCATCCCTACTTAGTAGTCTATATTTCATGTGAAGTGTTCATATAGACATATAGTCCTGAAATCTGTTTATGTCCCTGTAGAAAAGTTTATTTTAAAAAGCAAAACTTTCCCTTGGCATTTTCTCTGAGGATAGAATGCATTTCCATTAGAGGCTTGGAAAAAGATGGAAAAGGTGAAGGGCACGGAGAACTGTCAGGTTCATAAAAACTAGTGGATCCCACCATGAAGGGGATGATATATGCACCACCTCCTTCAGCAAGCAAAGATCCATTTGTAGCTTTGGTTTCACTTGGCGGTTCTCTGTTTAAACAGCTGAAAGGAAAGCTACAAATTAACCTATTTGTCACCTTGTTTATCTTGGATGGTGCCTTCTGCCCTTTGGCAGGAGACACTTCACAGACTGTTGATGAGGCAAGCCTTTCCATTTTAAAACCCCTAGGTGTGCTAGTGCACACTAGCAAAACACTGAATATTTTAAAAATACAGTTTGCACACATTTCAAGCCCAAACGTGAAAAGAAAATGTGGAAATTGTACAATTATTTCATATAAACCAATACAGGAGGCAGGGATGGAGAACAACAGAAATCCATTTTTTAAAAAATTTTGACACACACACACCTATGACTTATCATCTATTACTACTGCCAGGTTTTGCCTTTTTATCTCCAGGTAAGACTTGGAAAAGAATCCTGAAACCCTGGAAAGCCAGTTAGTCTAGACAGTATTGAGCTGGACCAATCAATCATCTCACTCACAAGTTCCAATGTGCCCAACCATGGTCCATAAAACATTCAGTTTTTGAAATCATTCCTTAGATGGTGGCTACCATTGGGGTGTTTAGTTATCCATATGACTGCAGGTGCTCTAATATACAGTTTCTGAGCCACACAATGGTTTACAATGGCAAATATTCCGACATAATTTGAATATTATTTATTTCAACGCTCTCATAAATTATGGATTGGCACACTGGCTTTATTTATCTGAAAATAGGCCTCATGAGACAATGAACTGAACGGAAATCACTCCATATGCATGTATGATTATATTTGAATATACATGCTATTTTTCTTCTACTTAAGGCTGCAGTGGTAGCCACATGTCCAAGGAATGGGCCCACTGGATGTATACAATTGCTCCATTTAGGGTCTCCAAAGAGAATTTTAAGGAGTTTTGCCAAATAGCACATCAACTGCTTGGATGAGATTCTGGGCTTCATGGTCAATAAAGAGATGTCACTCTTTAGCGCAGTTTTTAGTGTAACTGTAAAAATCTAGTTGCAACACAAAGCAGCCAGAACTAAATACAGTTGGGGATATACGGTGCTTGCACTTCATCACAGTTTGCACAGGAAAATTAAAAGCTAGTGACAGGGTTTTATTATTGCACTATATCTCAAGCTCAGAGCTGGATGCTATGTTTCCTATGAAGTATGATTTAGAAGTAAATAGTGTAAAGAATTAAAAGGAAAATGTGAATTGCTTTACATAATAATTTTCATCTAACATTAAGAGCAAGCATATGGACATCCTAAATCAAAGCAAACATTTTAAAAGTATTAATCAATTAGACATTCCATGAATATTTCATTATCTAGTATTTATATCAAAATGTATATCCCACTTTTCTCTATAAAATAAACACACAAACTTGCAAAATGTTCAGAACACATAACTTATTAAAAACAGTAAATAAGAGTTAACAATCACTAAGGGCACAGTCGTAGAGGTTCCTATCCTGGGGGAGGATAGGATTATTCAGAGCTCCAGCTCCAAGCCATGCCAGTTTCTTTCTTTCCCTGTGCTGCTGCTTCCTCTAGAGGTACAAAAATGGCTATTTAGATATAACATATAGTACAAAGCATGGTGTGGTAGAGATCACCACTATGCCTTGCTTCATGCTTCTGAATTCAGAGCTTTCGTAAACCTGAAGCAGAGAGCACTGGACTGCACCCTAAGTAACTGTATAGAAGAAATGCTATCTAGTTCAGTTTTGTTGAGAACAATATACAGCATGCCAATATCAGTCAACCTAAGGGATAGTAAATGTGTGATTTCCAGTATATATACTTTGAAAATAAAAGAAGTACTTTTGCATTTCTGCCCCTCAGAAAGGACAAATATTTCAGTGAGTTCCTATACAAAATATGGAAGTATTTGGACATCTATCTTGTCAGGATCAAAACTTCAGACTAAGATTTGCTGTGCTTTAAATTATTTCTTTTCAGAATTCTGTGCTGTACCAAGCTTGTGAGTTTCCAACATTCAAGTGCTAAAATGCTCATCAAATTAAGGATAACTGAGACAAGATATTTTTAAAAATGCACAGCTGAAATCTGAATGAAATCTCTGAATGGAGCACTTGCCTGATTTAAGAAATACCCCTCAACAATCTAATGGAAAAGTAGCACTAAACTTTCCAAAATTAATAGGTCCAATGAGCAGGCATTTTTCTGTGGGGTGCTTACACTCCCATTGATTCTCTTTCACCACATCAATTATGTTGCACAAGCAGCAACACTACGGCAATTTATGGCTTCCAAGGCAACTAGAGGCTTCCAAAACAACCCAGTTGTTTTTTTGAAGTAAGGCAGGAGAGCAAAGAGCTCATGGAAGGGAACATAATTGACATGTATCCTTCCAGAAAGAAGCAGGTCCTTTTGCTTTGGAATTTGCCCTAGGAAATGCTAAATCTCCCGTGTAAACCCTGGATCTTGCCAGCACAATGCAGTTTGCCATACTCACCTGTGGAAGGGAACTGGTGGGACAGAAAAGAATCAGTGGGGAATTCTAAATCTCACTTTTTTGTAGTCGTAAACAAATGGTTCATGGCTGTTCATGCATGGACTTACACACACAGGTGGATTCTCTTGCAGGGGAGCCTACCAGTGTGCAGCTCATGCGGGACATTTCCCTGTACAGAATACATGGGAAGCCAAGGATGTGCGGCCAGTGCCATACAGATTGTCAGGGATGGGACCAGCATCTGACTCCACCTCCATGTATAGGTTCTATAACGGAGGACAACCGAAGGGGCATATTCCTTAAACTGATCCATGTTTACAATCACCTTAAAATCACTTCCCTTACATTCCTGAACAGTATCACAAGCTGTTTGGTTTATCAAGAAAATAAAAATAAAAAACTAGTAACTATTTGTTATTGTTGCTGGTAACTAATGAAACTTATCTGGCATTTTGATACTTGAGATGGAATGGGACTTTTCTCATTAGTGGGATGTTCAACATCTATTCCAGGTCTTTCTTTATGAAAGGAGGAGAAGAGTCACTAGGACAGGCAGATAATTTACTTCTTATTCATTGTGGGTCAAGGTTACTCCCATCTATTCCACTTCCATGTACTACCCATTTGGTATGGACTCCCATTACTTTCTCAGAAGGCAATTCCGTAGAAAACTGCCAGATGGAGAGTCAGGTCATTGGTCCATCTATTTCAGTACTTCCTACTCTGATTGACAGCTGCTCTCTAATTGCCATAATGTGCTCCCTAACCATTTAAAGATGTCAAGGATTTAACCTATCTCCATGCAAACCATGTGCTCTACTGGTCAGCAATGGTGCCTCCTGAAAGAGTTTTCTCAAAGGGTTCATTTGCCAAACAAAGGGGCAATGAGAGGTATTAGTTACAGGATTGGTCTGGGATTTGTGAGAACTGGGTTCTAGTCAGGGTTCTAGTCTGGGTTCTTCAGACATGAAACTTGCTGTGTGGTCTTGGCCAGGCATGGCCTTGCAGCCTAACCTCTCTCACAGGGTTGTTTTGAAGATAAAATGGGAAAGCTCCCCACATGTCAGAAACCATTTCTATAAACGCCAACACATTCCTTTGAAACCCTCACTTCCTAGCTATGTACTTTGCTACCATATTTGAGCACTATTAA